TGCACCGACATTGTCGCACGTAATGACCTCGGGTACCGTCAGTGATTCTCGATCCTTGCATGTCTGGAGTGCCGCATGCCGTACGTTATTGGCTTTTACTCTTGGGCATTCGGCCGGAATAACATGAGCATATACGTTCTTGAGATACAAGCGATATAATACTGGTGGCAACTAGGCCAATAATAACACTAGGCAAACAGATTTACCCGGAACAAACAATTCGTCTGATGTCAACATCGTTCAAGCAACAGTGTGATGTCACCGAACGACTCGATGTTTATTTTCGTTGGCCATAATTCGCGCGTCCCGTTGTCGCCAGATTAACCAAATTTACGGATTTCCAATTAGACATTTCTTAGTAATTAGCAGCCTGCATATTGGAACAACTAATACGCGTGGTGGGCGTAATAACGTATGTACTTATCTACATACACAAGGTGCCAGTTACTGTACATTCGTCAACTTGCATAATCGATGGTCGAATTATGCCTTTAATACTAATGAACACTATCACCTCTTCTTCTTCGCTTCGTGTATTAGGTCCTTTTTTTTTAATATAATAATAATAATAATAATAATAATAATACCATCAGCATACTTTTGTAATCGAAGCACACTGAGCTAGCTCCTGATACGTCCGAACGAATCTTTCAGCGTTTGGCAACGCCAAAACCATTCGCAATGACAACTCTAGTCGCTTTGGTAAGTACATCGACATCCACTTCAACAAGCAGGGCATCATCGAGGGAGCGAAGATAGAACAGTACCTACTGGAGAAAGTCTCGCATTGTCAGCCAGGTCAGTTGTCATGGGGCGATTGTGGACTGAATAAGTAGTTCCACTCTTTATTTATTTATTATTATTATTATTTATTATGATTTGTTTATAAATTTAAAGACGGTGCATTGGTAAAAGATGCTTCAACAGGAGCTTGCAAGCTCCTTACTGTGAACTTAATTAATTTTATTTCAATCAGTTTAGACACTATTAGTGTGAAAAAGTGATAGAGCAAGCGAAAGAGAGAGAGAGAGAAGAGACGAGACGAGAGAGAAAGGGAGTAGAAGTGTGAGTATGAGAGAGGAGAAGAGCGAGAGGCGAGAGAGAGGGAGTCGAGAGAAAGAAGGAGGAAAGAGAAGGAAGAGAGAGAGAGAGGAGAGGAGAGAGAGTGACAGAAAAGAGAGTGAGCAGACAAACCGAGCCCTGATGAGGGAGAGCGAGAGAGACGCTCGAGAGAAAAGAGCAGGAGGGGAGAGAGAGGAGCAAGAGATGAGAGAGACGATAGGAGAGAAGAGAGAGAGAGGAGAGAGAGAGCAACGAGAGAGAGAGAGAGAGAGAAAGGAGACGAGCAACATTTATAAAGGCCGAATTATTTTATAGAAAGGTGGAAAGCATGACGTCCGTGTGGTTTAGTAAGCGTGGAGGTCACCGCGTCATGTGTTCTTGCAGGCGCACGATGAGAGGAACTATCACATCTTCTACTGCATGCTCGCCGGCATGTCACCAGAGGACAAGAAGAAACTCGAGCTACAGGATGTCACCAAGTACTACTACCTGATCCAGGTAAGCTTCTCTACCTGATCCAGGTGAGGCAGATTACTATGAGTCAGGTGAAAGATTACCTGATCGGTGAGAATTACCTGATTCCAGGGAGAGCTTGACCTGCCATCCGCGTGAGGAGATACCTGCCATCCAGGTGACAGACTTACCTGGACTCACGGTAAGCTACTCTACCTGACTCAGGTAAGCTACTCTACCTGATCCAGGTAAGCTACTCTATACCTGACCCAGGTAAGCTACTCTACCTGACTCAGGTAAGCTACTCTACCTGACTCAGGTAAGCTACTCTACCTGATCCAGGTAAGCTACTCTACCTGACTCAGGTAAGCTACTCTACCTGACTCAGGTAAGCTACTCTACCTGACTCAGGTAAGCTACTCTACCTGACTCCTGAGGTAACGCTACCTACCTGACTCAGGTAAGCTACTCTACCTGACTCAGGTAAGCTACTCTACCTGACCCAGGTAAGCTACTCTACCTGACTCAGGTAAGCTACTCTACCTGACTCAGGTAAGCTACTCTACCTGATCCAGGTAAGCTACT